AACCTGGTTTATGTGGAATCTTTTGTTGGGTAACCTGGTTTATGTGGAATCTTTTGTTGCGTAACTTGGTTTATGTGGAATCTTTTGTTGGGTACCCTGGTTTATGTGGAATCTTTTGTTGGTTGACCTGGTTTATGTGGAATCTTTTGTTGGGTAACCTGGTTTATGTGGAATCTTTTGTTGGGTAACCTGGTTTATGTAGAACCTTTTGTAGGATTTCACAATTAAATGATTACAATATTTGCTCAATTAAAAGCACCTCCTTAATAGAAATGAACATAATTCAAAAATTACATTTACTGTATTTGCTGAATTACCATATGCATAAATTAATGCAGTGTTTCTAGGGGCAAAATAAATCATATGTTAATAATTCAGTAACGTAACTTTTGTGAGAAAAACTTAAGTTTTTGCTAAAAATCTGAAATTGTAGACATCCTGTCATTTCCACACCTTTTATTTTGAGAGTACCTTATCCCCCAGAAAACAAACCTAAAATTGTTTACAAATCTACCTTAATTGAAGCGACCAGGAGTTAACTTCACATTACCCACCCACAATCTCAACATGTCTGTATGTATATACCGGGGTAATGGTATATGGAAGAGCATTGTGAAACAGAGATATATTGCAACGTTCATCGATAGTGAATATAACATTACGCACCTGCAGCTCTGGTACTAAATCTGCCAAGTATTTGATAGGACTTTCAACATGACCCACAGTGGTTACAGGACCCAGAGCAAAAAATGTCTTGATCTGTAAACAAACACACAGTCCAGTTACAGTACCTGGCACCCATTAAAACAGATCATATATAATGTAGTTACACTTTTTGCTTGTTTGTATGAATGTACTGTAAAAACGTTTGACAGGTCAAACACCCATGAACTGACAATGTTTGAGCAATTTACCATTGGTTCCTCTTGTAAAAAGGTCTCATCATATCTCAAAATTTGGTTGGTTTGTCTATCAGAACATATTAAAGTATGTAAGCAAACACAGTTGCATAATTGTACAATGTACAATTCTGAAAATTTGTTATAGAGATGAATCAGCAGTCTGAGCCTGTCTTACCTTCTTTGCCAGTTCCTTGTTTCTTGGTAGTTGTGCAAATGCCATTAGTGTGCCCTGTGAGTGACCAATGTAATACAGTTGTGGTTGCATTGATACCTTGAGAGCATAGTTCACCATGGCTGGCAAATCATACAAAGCCATCTGATCAAAACTACAATGATCAAAAAAGAAATTAATTTTGTGTATACTATTATGTGCCTTTGTATAAATTAGCAGAAGCAGAATAATGAGAAAAATTAACTATTATTTATTCCTACCTCCACTCCCAGAATTCATCCTGATTTGGATTCAGGCTTACATGACTTCTGGAATAGGTATTCCCTCGAACATTACCTAACCAGACATCAAATCCTGCGTCTGCTAAGATGTATGCAAAACTTTCGTTTTCCAGGTTGGTTAACCAGTTAGTTGAGGAACATAGTAAACCATGTTGGAGGAAGACAACTGGCCTTGGATTGGTTGTGCTTGCATTCTTTTTACCGTATGGTATTCTTTGGAGTCCCAGTAGAAAGCCATCTTCCGTTTGGACAGTATGTTCCTCACATGGGTAGCCTTTACTGGTGATAAGCTGACTCTGTGCCAAAAATTGAGAAATATTTATACAGTATAAAACATTTAACTTCCTGCATATAAAGTATAATCCCAGTGAACATGACTACCGGTATGGTTGTTGATCAATAACCTCTGGCCCCCATCTGTAGTTTGTCTGTAGTGTGATCATGTTATTTTTCACTATAAAGACACACGTGTTATCCATGTGACAATGAATAAGAACACATTTAAAGCAAGAAAACAATGTCAACAGAATAGTACAAACTATAAACTCTGACCACCCAACTTTTGGATATGTGAAAATGACCATGAACATATTTATTTAAAGG